AGTGTTGATTATTCCCTCCTCCCGGGTATTGTGTACTGTAAGGAAGGAATTCGACGTAATATTGCATTACATGCTGAAAACTCCATATTGTAGTGGATGTACTGCTTGGTATGAAGCCATTGTTATTATTATTAAATTACATTAAAAGTCTATACATACTTTTTTCATGATCACAGGGAGTAAATGATGGAACTAAGACTAAGATAAGTCCCTTATGATGTAAGTTATTAAATCATTGGTAGTACGCACCCACAGGACAAGCTCGTATACCATTCAGCCACTAGGACCTGGCTGACTGCTCCATGACCAGCCCATGAATTCTAACCTCTACCAATTCGTGATTTTGCGCGACTCCAACCAATGTCGTCCGTGGAATACCAATCCTCACGAATTGGTAGAAGTTGGAATTCGTGGGCTGGTCATTGAGCAGTCGGGTCCCAGTGGCTGGTGAATGGTCTATGAGCTAGCTTACCTTGTAAAGAGTAGGCTCGGGGTTCGAATCCTGACGGTGATTCTCAAACTAGGCTGATGAAACAGCTGTCCAGTAGTGCTGCAGTGCTGGTTTTTTCAATGGTTCTCTAACTGATATCAATCCGCGATCAACTCGTAAAAACAAACAAAACTAGTCCTTACAAACCAAATATAGAAAATTTATTAAATGATTGAGAACTGCGAACAACTGACTGTATATAGGATAATTAGAGCAATGCTCATTAGAAGGGAGGACCAAAATGTTTGAGTGGAAATACAGTTCAAGTACAAAGGGTATGACGACAATATAACGGATTACGCAACTACAGGAAGTATGATTTTGTAAAACATCAAAAAGTGAGCTGGATGAGTCACGTTCAGATGAAACAATGAAGATTTCTAAAAGAAGAAAAGAAGATATAAGTGAATACATGACTTAATCAAAATTTGTGCTTTCTTATGTAAGTTTATTCCTCGATTTCATCAACTTTGAAAAGCCTTCCAACAAGGTAGACTGTAAAGTAATCTGGAAACTGCATTTAACAGGTTTATGAGACAATGCCAAATGTCAAGTGATCCACTAAGCAGAACTCAGAGACGACTTTGAATTGGACACAAGAATAAGACAAGACTGCTGCCTACAATCATTGATGATATTCCTAACTGTTGCAGACTAGATTATTCTGGAGACTATGGCGAGAGAGAAGACAGGAATACGCTGGACCACAGATATGAAGACTCTAGAAGATCTGGATTCTGTGTGTGGTTGGTATATGTCTAATGTCACGCAAACTCAAAGACTTACAGGTAGGCAAGCGAAAACCAGAAAATTGACTGAAGAATCAGGCTGTGGAGACAGAATGTCAGGTGGTGAACATAGAAAACACGGAGGTGATGAGAATAACCAACCAACCAAAAGCAAAAATAACAAACAGCACCAATCACTATCAAAGGTAAAAATTTGAAATAGGTCAATTCACACACTTATCAAAGCGGCATAGTTGCAACTGCAGGTGACAGCACACATGAGGATGTCAAATGTAGGCAGAATCAGAAAGTCAAGACAAATCATCATCACTCTGTAATCAGTCTGAGGATCTTCTGCGCTCAGCTCGAACAGCAACATTCGGATTTCCAATACCAGTGATATGTCAGTTCCCTTATATGGGTCAAAAAACTTGGAACGTCAGAAAAAGCATTTCTAACAGCTTTCAGAAGTCTTTAATCAGCAGCTTCCACATTCCCTCATTACTGAAGAACAAGTATCGGGTCAAAAAGAATTAGCAGCAGGCAACTCTGGCTGACGATGAATGAATTAACCAACCAAGAACCTAATGGTCAACAGATATGCCGAAGAGAATGGAGATGGATGATATACACACTGAAGAGGAGGCGGTCGAATGACATGGCTCGCCAGACCATCACTGGAATATAATTCTAGTAGGAAACGACGAGTTGGGTGACATGTGCGGGATGAGATAAGAGACCATGAGACTCAATCATGTATTCAGCTAAAGAGGACCCTGTGGAGAAAAAATGAAATGAAGGTGTTCTTTTGAAGCGGTATTTTTCAGTCGGAAACCAAGAGAACAGTAGTTATAGAAGTAATAATCACCAAGGTTGTGCAAGGTTGGCAACTGTCTCTTTTGCATACGTAGATTCAGCGAAATATAGTCCATAAGGTTTCTGTTACCTGCCGACTATTTTGAATTCCTTCATATTGTCGACAATATGGCCAGTCTCCAATAGATGACTCGCCAATTTACTGTTTAATGCCTATGAGCTCTTTAGTCAAGAGGTTATTTGATACATGTTCAGAAATGCGGAAAATAACCCTTCTGTCTGTATTATTCCAATGCTTGTGCTCCAGCACGTACAGGTAAATTGGTAGTCTAAGATCACGATATTCAGCGAAGAGACTCTTTTCAACGAAATTATTATCAAGCTGTACAATCCTATATATATGGTTTTTAAGAAATTATATCCGGTGAGGAAATTAGATCGAAAGTGTGAACACATGAAGTAATAGTAGTAGTATGAAATGCAGTTAAAATATTTGTGATTATAATCATAGTTAAATGTCAAGCAGCAAATTAATTAATGTCATATATAGAATAATACATAAGGTGTATAGATGTTGGAAAGGGGTGCATAATTATAGGATTAGTAGACGAATATGAAACGTCACACAACATGGTGTGAAATTTAAAAAGATAGCATAAATAAATAAATGTCTATCCCTCTACGGCCAAGGCAGAAGTAGGCATTGTACATACTTCTTTCGTGCACACAAAGGTCTGGCTTGAATTCATAAATTGTCAAAGCCTCCGCTGTCTTTAGAGGTCTGTAACGAAGGAAACGAGGCCCACAAGTTAGCATTGATTAGGTAGATGATCTTCATATCATGGTGAGGGTTGGTAGAGTGACAGAAGTCGACCAGGTGTTCTAGAATAGAGCTTTGCACACACTTCCTTTCTCCCTTGTAAAAGCATGCCGCTGCAATACGTTCTCGTATCCCTGCGGAAAGCGTCCTCTAACTACGGTCAATGTACCCTGCTCCACAAGAGCAGGTGAACTGAAAGATTCACATGGAGGTGGCAAGACGGGGCAGCTTATCTTTTACAGAAATATAGAACAACTTGCGACTAGTGAATGTCATTTTAATTTTGCTGCAGAGAACGTCTTGCTGACTGATTTAGACAGACGGTTTTTGAGCACATACGAAGCTTGATCACCATTGAATTGCAAGTTCATGGATTCGGTTTTCTTTGTTACTGAGTCAGTAACCAGGTTAGACTGTCACTAAATCGCTTCTGGTAACTGTTTTCTGCGAGGGTGGCTTTTACGAAGTCAAGTTCTCAGCCTACGCAACCGGAGCTACAAAGTCTAAGGTGACACGAGGTGGAAGTCTATCCTCTTTTCATTGTCTAATCCAACCGTTCACTTGGTTAACCCATACAGTTTTGGCAGCTGAATATTTTCTTTTCAGGGCATCTTACTTTACTGGCAAAATCATTACCTTTGAAGAGAGGCTTTGCTACAATTTATCTACATACAGATTTTATCCTTGAATGAAACATGATTGAAAATGTTTCGTCAGTGTATTTAAACTTTCTGTCTTCATAAAATTGAAATTTATTTATGTTATCAATGATTGTATTTCTTAAACTAAATGTTATGATGACATAATCAAGACACATTCTTCAGACATTCTATTTACCTTTCGACTTTTGATTGCACTGAAGAACAAGTTGTTCGACAGACGGAAGCCACCAAGCTGCAGGATAGACTGTGCCTAGTAACGTCCTCAGTCTTCTGTTGACAATGGCTGTAATATTTTCACCTTTCTAATCTAGTTGAATGTGGATTGACCTTTTCTCTACTGTGATTTGTTTGACATTTGAGACTTCTGATCTTCCATACTTGTTAGTGAACCTTTGAGGGTAACCGTTACTTTTCAACATCTCTTCGAGAAACATAAATTCTTCCTCCAATTTCTCTATAGAGCATAATCTCCTCGCTCTATAGCATAGAGTCGTGGTTAGTCCTCGTCTAAAGTATTTGGTCTAGAACTATTAAAATATAGGTATTGTCTATCCCTTGTCGGCTTTTGTGAATTGATCCCTGAGGACTACCATCTTCTAGGCGTTGCATGCCACTGTCAAGGAGATGAAACTCTCCGTCATTTTCATGTTCACAGTAAATTCAATATTTGTATGTGCGTCGGTGAATAATCTGAGTAGGTAGGAAGCATGACTGTCATTGTTGCAAACTACAGATACGTTATCTGTATATCGACGATATGAAGTTGTTTCGTCGATTGCATGCTTCAACTTTGTTTGTTTAAGCTTGGAAATGAATATATCTGTTAAAACCAGGCTGAGTGGACTACCCATAGCTACACCATCTACTTGGCGGTAAAGACTGTTGTCAACCTGAAGTCGTACATCCATGATACACATTAGCAGTAGGCGTTTTAATTCTGACTCTGGGAGTGGGAGAAGATCAGAATGCTGGCAAATGATCTCGATAGTGTCACTGATTGCAATGCTTGTGAACAAAGAGGTTATATCAAATGACACCATGAACTAATGTGAAACGCTCACGTGGTTCACGCATTCAGCAAAATGAAATGAATTTTTCATGATGTACAAAGCTAGCCTTTGACAAATGGATTCCACCTTCGCTGGAAGCCAACGACCGACCTCATACTGAGGCGAGTTGATCATCGAAAGTATAAGTCTCAGGGGAATTGGTTTTTCTGCGTTTTTGGACTGATATAAATGTACAACAAACGGGACCCTCAGGGTTTCAAATCATTTTACGAATTGTTGTCAATCAATTTTTCTCTTTAGAAGATCTCCCAGTACGCTTGTGATACATTTTTCAACTGCCTCTCTCTTATCCTTTTGGCGATTGTCAACTTTAAACCTCAACAGGTCATTTAACACAGTTTTCATCTTTGCGATGTAGTCAATGCAATATTAGGTACCTCCATTTAATTATACATTTCTCTCTGATCTTTATAGCTCACACACAGTCATGGGGCAGCATTTCTAACACGTTCCTTACTCAGTGTTACAAGGACGGGCAACCAGAGGATAGATATGGTCCAGTCAATCCAAGTGATGAAGAAACTTTCACAGCTCTATCAAATATCTTTAATGAAATTCTCGGTGTATTCCCTGATACCCTACTTCATTTCGGTGGTAGCGAGGTAACATTTGACTGTTGGTAAGTGACACACTGTTGATTATTTTATACTTGGAAGTAATGGTATAAAAAGGGTTTGAAATAATTTGAGCAAACGACATTGACATCATTATTGGTTCCTTATGTTACGATTGGAACGTAAGGCTTCAACACGAGGACATCTGCACTTCATTCTGTTTTATGCAGTCATCTTTACTTAGCTGAAAGACTCACCATAAGCTGAACTTTCCACCATGTCAGCTTCCGAGACTTTTGATGACATCAGGGTAGCCATTGACCACTCAGTGTACTCATTTTTTTCACCTGGGCGAGGAGATTAGATTATTGACTCTTCAGCTGGCAATTTGGAGAGTTCACATTCACTCCACTCCCCTGTCTTCTCATTTCTTTTGCAATATGAGTAGCCTTCTTATCTTCAAGCATTCATCATGCTGACATACTTTATTCTCGTGCTTATTTCTGTTTCCATTGAAAGAAGACGCATCGACTGACTGGATTACTGAAGACTTTCACCAACCCACGTCATTTAGTCTTTCTAGTTCCAGTCGAGAATAGATTTGATGTTTATATTTCACCCTATATAAGGTTCATTTTTTTATTATTTTGAATGATTGAAGGATTTCGTAAGGGAATACGTAACACTGTTATCTGCTAAAATGTTCCCTAAGTGGAAATTTCTCACTTAAGTAATAAAACACAATATTAAATTTGTCAATTCCATGTTGACATTAAATCCCCGAAAAAACCCATTGGGTCATGAGGAAAATAAAAGATAAATTCAACCAGCGAAGAAAATTTTCTTCATCAACGAAATCATCCTCAGAGGCTGCTGTACAGTCGTATTTGTATTTTTTTTACCAAAAATGTATAGTAGTCTATTATTGAGTAACAGGGTTGTTGGGTGGGTGACATAATGGATATAGCTACTCAGAAGTGGCTTTAGAAGTAAAAAAATAAAAGTTGTAAATTACATAGTATTCAATGGCACAAAGGAAGAAATGGTTGGTGTCAGAGAAACTGCTATTTATGAACGCTGAGTTTAGAGGTGATACTGCAGTTGAGGTCCTGAAGAATCGCTGGTTATGCATATCACTGAGGATAGTCTTCTTTGTAGCTGAGCTATGGACCAATTTCTACAGCCGATAAATGATCAATGGATGTGTGAAAGACAAAATGCTATCACTTTCGGCCGATTCAATGTGTGTTTATAAATTCACCGCTTGTATGAAGCCAGTTATATTGGCCGGCCGCACAAAGCGCACACTTTTCAAGCGCATCTTTGAACATTATCGGGCATAGTTAGCCAAAAGGACAATACCAGACAGTTACCAGCTCAGTTCTCGAGCACTTGGTGTGAGCTCAAAGCACACAGCTCTACGAGAGTCGTCTTTCAATACCATCTACAAGGTGTGGCCAAATGGTACAAAGGGCGTCAGGTTTCGACTGGAAATTATTCAATAAATTCCCGATCTCTGTATACAATAAGAATTTGCCCAGTCTCTTATTCTATCATGGTCTTAGCCGCTTCACTAGTCGTTCCCTGTAAATTTTTTATTTTTAACAATTACTTTGCTTTTACTTGATAATTAGTTCACTGCTGTCACTCTCACATGTTCCTTTTGTGCATTTTCACACCCTCTTCACACTTGTTGAATTGACAATCAACCACATTTCTTCTCACTCAATAGAAATTTTAACCTTATCAAATTTCTAACTTTGTACCATTGAATACTGCGTAATTTACAACTTTTATATATATATTTTTTACTCCTGAAGCCACTTCTTAGTAATTATATGAATTATGTCACCACCTATTACTCAGTAATAGGCTACTATACAATTTTAGTAAATATAAATACGACCGTATGGCAGCCTGTGAAGATGGTTTCGTTGATCAAGGAAAATCTATGGTGCTTGAGACAGCTTGTTAGCATACAAACTATCTTCGAAGTTTAAGAATTGAATAACTGGGCTACAATCGTTGCATATTGATTGATGTAAGGATAAAACTTAGGCACTGTGGTGGTAGGGTATAACTCCAATAATGGACAAAATTTTATTTTGATAAAATCACATAGTGTAGTATTGTTATACAGTACTGTTTACTGATGGCATTTAAACTTACAAACTCACTCATACAGGGCAAGCTCTGTAGGCTTAAGGATACGGTGGATCCAAATGAACAAAAAAATATAATTTACAAAATACCTTGAAATGACTGTGAGTGAGGTGAACTACATAGGTCAAACTAGTAGACCAGGAGTAGTGAGATTATCAGAACATGGGAATTTAGTGGCTAAGGTTAGAAAGATGGGTAATTTAGAAAAAGGCTCAGAGGTAATCTCACTGCATGCATTAACACACAATCACACAATAGGGTGGGTGGGGTACAGTTCAAATTCTAAGAAGTAATATAGGTAGGTGGAGAGCGACAGAGGTTGATTGCAAAATCCTGGTTCCTTGGGTCTACACCCATTACATGCAACAGAAGTGACTCAACGTAAATACCAGAGATATGGAAGATATTATTGCCACCAGTCAGTCAAATCACAGGAGGATTACAAATAATCTTAAAATGTATTCTGTTTCAATTCACATACATTCTAGCAAGTTACTTATTTTGAGTATAAAAACACTCATCTTATTCCCCAGCTGACTGTACTTGATTGATAACACTCACATTATTATTTCTGAATGTACTTTATCTTATATTGATTTTATTCAACTGTCTGAACAAGTTTTACTCATGTAGATAAACAAAGCAAGAAAGCTGTGTGAGTAACTTGATATGATATGATTATCAGCAGCAATAGTTTGTGCTCGAATCGTCATCAGTAAATATTACTGTATAATACTGTGAGACTTTGATTTGACACTAGTGTAACTAGTGTGATACGTCTAGTCCTCTGATTGGTGTAGACTGAATTCTATCAGTCAGGTTGTAATATGGCCACCATGCTTGGTGGCTCGCCATTACAGCAGCACTAGATGACGCGGGTTCGAATCTCAGAGGCGACATGAGTTCCTTCAAGGTTGCAGATACGCCTTGCTGACTAGTGAGTGCCAACTAGCACGAAACCTAGGTGGTGTCCAAGGCTTCCTGTGACCGATTGCCTCCAACCATCTTATACTGTTAGACTTTATCAAAATAGAATTTTATCCATAGTGGAATGATTGCATATAATTGAAACTGTGGATATATAACCATTTGATTACAGAGAAAGGCGATGATGTTTGCAGTGAAAGAGACTTATATGCATACATATATATATTTTCAAGTATTGGTTGAAGATGAGGCAGTAACTCATCGAAGAAGACATTGGCTAGCGGTCGCACTATGTCGTGAATTGGCAGAAGTTAGAATTCAAGGACCTTTGGATCGGGTCCCAGTGGATCAATGGTCTACGAGCTCGCCTTGTAACCAGAAGGTCCTGGGTTCGAACCCCTGTGGTGCGTACTGCTGAAGAGTCCCAAACTAGGACGAAACAGCTGTCCAGTACTCCCAGGTTTTCCTGTAGTTCTCTAACTGATGTCAGCTCATGATGAAATCCTCCATGCAATATATATATTTGTTAAAACACTTTTGTCGATGAAAATTAACTTGATTATAAGCACTAAATTTTGAGAGTGTAAAACTTTTACAATTCTATCATCATCAAAATTAAGTGTTATTCAGGTACTGGTTTGTCAGGGATTTGAATAGTTTCCGTATTTCATCATGAAATGACATCGGTTAGAGGATCATTGGAAAACTGGTACTGGAGAACTGGATAGCTAGTCTGAGACTCTTTAGCAGTTGGGTACATCAGGTCAGGTGTGAGGACAAATACTCGCTTGTTAGTGCTAGTCATGCTATATCGTTAAAAATGGCAGAATTCGTGAAATTCGTGAACAATTCGATGGCGTTCCAGCGGCCTAATGCTCGCCTTGTAACCGGAAAGTCCTGGGTTTGAACCTCGGTAGTAAATGCGTAATAACGAAGAGTTAGTCCCGGAACTAGGCTAGCTGTCCAGTACTCCAGTGCTCGTTTCCCAGTTGCTCTCTAACCGATGTGTCATTTCATGATGAAATCCTGAGAAATAAAGTGTCTTAAAGTCACCACGTGTTGATAAACCTTCCTCCTGGTGCATTTATTCCACTACTCTAGCCTTGCATTTATGTTAAAATGATGGCAGAGTGATTAAACTCTACTTGGTGAATGTGGTTCAATTTTCTAAGTGAGCATTCTAACTATTATTAGCTGAGTGTTAAAAACTCCCAACTGTAGCATTTGTCAATAATGGTAAAAGTCAAAAAACTATATTTATCAAGAAGTTTGGTGTCTGACTGATGGGAAAATCATTCCCAGAAGATGACCTTTCAACAATGATTACAATGTAAATTTTATTATTTCTATAAAAGGCATTCGCCTTAATTTCGTATAATTGTGTATTTTCAATTGGACCAACTCCGCCTAAATTCAACTGACCCTACATAGAAATCTGACATTGAAAATTTAACTCATGGCAACTGAATGTTCGTGGTACACTTGTAGGACACTAGTCAACCAAGCTAAGTGGTCTGGGGTTCCATCACCAGCCGACACATTCCTTTACCTCGCTTAGCCAATAGTAAGCCTAGTGAACAGAGAAGGTTGGATATGAGGCTAGCGACCCCATCCCTTGAAAATAAACCCCACTGCTACTGAAACTTCAAAGTTCTAGCTTGAAGGTGCCCTATGTTCCATTGAAAACTCAAGGAAATACACAAAAACCTGAATTTATCTGGAACAATGCAATTCATATTGTATTAACTGACATTCGGTCAAGTTAAACTTTAAGCACCAGTGAGTACCAGCGGAATGCAGCCGTACCAATGACCTTGAAACGCTCAGTGAGCAAGTTGGTGAAACCTGGTACGTACAGTATTGTAATCACGAATAAAATATGCCTAATGAAGTGTTATGTCATTAAATGGGATATCTGGCAACTTTCAGGTTGGGTTGGGGAAAGATCAGGTCAAGGTGTTTAGGCTAAGGACAAGTTGGGGTTAGGCTAACCCCAATGAGGATGAGATTATGGTTGGTTTGAGTGAGATTAAGGTTGGCTCAGGGATATATTCACGTTAGGCTTAGGTTCAAGAAAGATTAGGGTTATTTTTTTTCTTAGAAGACCTGAGTAGTTACATACATCGGATATGGTTAGATTACTCTGTCGATACTCCCATCCAAAATTGAGAGGTATTTTTGCCACACGTCAGAGAAGGGTATTCTGTGTAACAGTCTCATGCCTTATAATTGATTACCTTCATGAATTTGCGTATTCTATACGCAATAATCGCCTTTGTTATGTGTTTTATGCATTTGAGCTCATTTCTCCGTTGGTACTTACTGGTGCTTAAAGTTTATCTTTGCCGGCTTAATCTTTTCATAGTTCATTTTTGGAAGTGTATGTTTGCTTTACTGGTAAAATGTGAGCACCTAGAGGCACGTCTTGGCAGTCAATTTGCTCAGACACTGCTGCACTCTTAGCATCATCTTTAAGCTGTGATCATAGAGAGATTTATGATGTTGCCATTAATAATAGTAAGAAGATTTCTCACGTTTGACCACGAAATGATATCACTTAGAGAACAGTTGAAAGCCATAGGGTACTGAACAGCAGTTTCGATATAGTTTGGGGCTCATCGCCAGAACGCATCCACCGGGAATGTAACGCAAGACCTTCTGGTTACAGAGCAATCTAGTAGACCATTCAGCTATTGGGGCCCTACTCAATGATTAGCCCATAAGTCCTAACTTCTATCGATTCGTCGTTTTACCGCGACCAATAGACAACGTCATGGGCTAGTACTTGTCCTCAATCCCAACTGGATGGACCTCACTGATTATGACTTCTTGCTAGATAGAGCCCTCGTGGTCAGTCCGAGTTAGGTTCCAATGGCTGAATAGTATGCTTGCTTGTCTTGTAATCGATAGGTCTTGGGTTCGAAATCCAGTAGATGTGTACTGCCGGTGAGTTCCAAACCAAAATGAAACAGCTGTCGGGTACTCCAGCACTGGTTTTCAAAGGTCCTTTAAATGATATCAATCCTTCGTGGTCAAAATTGAAGAATAAATCGAATCTCTATGCAAACTAACGCTTCAAACGTTATGATCGAATCTATTCACACTCAGGCAATCTAATCCAACTATTCAAGAATTTATGCAAACACAAAGCTTTGGTGATGATTACAATTCACTCGAAGATTATTATTTCCGAAAACTTATGGAAACTGTTCTTGGAGCAAATTCATCAGAATGGACAGTTTCACCAGTCATTTGGGAAGATGCATTCGATAATGGATATCGTGTAAGTAGTTTTTGCTTTTGCAGTAATGTCTCCATGTATATTCTCGTTCCAAGCGTTTCCCAACTGATTTTGTTTATGAAACGTTTTTATGTTTACCAGAATGATATGAAATGATGCTGAACAGCTTTACTCAGAAACTCATGAACAGTTAACAGTTAGCTAAATTTATTGTCTGTTTGAGAGGAATTGTGATATTGTAGGGGTGTTCTACTGATGAGATTTATCAGTAGTATATAAAGAGATGTTCACTGGCATAAAAATATTATCCTATAATACCTCCTTCATTTGTCACTCGATTTCACGTTCTAAATGACATGCGACTCTTCGGATTGTGAATGGTGCCGTTTTGCGACAGCTCAGTGGGATTTCATGCCTCACCTTATCGCACTTATTGCAGAGGTCACCATCTCCAGTGTATTTTCGGTGCTATGTCGCTTGTTTCATATTTCGTAGTCACTTCCCTCTCCTCCATGTTAATAATCGCACCAACCTCACGCAAAAATTCAGAGCTAAGTACTGTTCACCGTAACTTGGGCACAATAATGAACAGGGACGTAACTTCGCGATCGCCAATAATAATGATACTGTTTGACATGCCCATGATGCTTTATACGTGTCCACCTACCGTTTAAAATTACAATGAACGTGGAGTCTGACGCTCTGATATAGATTCATGTCTGACACTGCTGACCCTGTATCTATTAAACATACAGATTCTCAGTCATTCACTCCATAGCCCACGTTACCTGTGGTCTGACAGAAGAGAAATAACACACATTATACTGTCTGAAATTGTTTATTCTCCTTCTTCCTGGGTACTGCCTCCCCCAGTTCCCTGATTTGCCATATCCAAAACATCAGTATCTCCTGGCAGTCATTCGTTGTTCCGCTACTTCACTCTACAAATCTTCCACTTTCTGTTTCCATTCGTTCAATTTCAGTGGTTCTATTGAGGCTGGCTAGAGTTGTTCTCAACAGCTGTCTGGTTACCTTAGCTAACTCACCAATGTCCATTGGTTGTGCAGCGTTAGCCAGCTACAGTTGCTGAGAAATTTATTCCGAGACTCTCGCGAAGAACTGGGACCCCAGTAGCTGCGACTCCAACTCTTCATCTAATGAGGGTACTGCACCAAGAGGCAGATTCATCATCTTTGCTAACAACACTAACAGGTGTCCGTTCGGTCCTGGCTTCGCGGTACGGAACCGCCGCACAGCTAGCTGCCTTTCCACCGAGCTGTGGAACTCTGCCATCAATCGTTCAACCAGCACCTCCAAGGCCCGTGTCTCATCTGACCGCCCCGCACTGTCAGACGCCGCCTTTTCTCAACCTTTCAGCAGCGTCCTTAGAACAACCGCCTTCGCTGTTGGATCACTGACGTCCACCAACTTAGAGGCAGCCTTGAAGTCCCACAAGAAGCTCTAAATGTCTCCTTCCTCGACAACAGCCGGCTATGGAGGCAGCGACACCAATTGTAACGCTAGAAGACAAGAGACTTGGTAAAGAAATGTTTGTTTGCAGTTCGGTATCCCTATATATATAGATATATTATGCACGCCTTATCTTCAACGAACCATTTGCATGGATCTTCCGTGTTGTGCTAATTCTAACCCCCCCACTTCATACTGTTTTTCTTTGTGCTTTTTTCACGTCTCCTGTGATTCTCTGCACCTCGGAATTATTTGCTTTCTGTGAGGTCAAATCTGTCTCCGTGCTATTTGATGTTTTTATGCCAATAAACATCTCTTTATATACTACTACTACTACTGATAAGTCTAATCAGTAGTACACGCTACAATGCTACACGGCTACATAGACCTTGTTAGGCGAAGCGAAGTTTGATTTCGTAACCCAATGATTGTTTGGATATCCGACACTCAGATCTATAAGTGAGGTAGCTTTATAGTCACAGACGAATAATCCGTTTTCTAGGGACATTTCGGATGAAGAAGAAATGCTTTCATTTTTCGTCAGTGAATTTATAACTGAACATAAATCGGAAATATATCCTATCCTAACCTATTAATAACGTAACAATTCTGTCTCAATTTATATCCAACTCCTTCTAACATTAATGACCCAATTTCAAAGTGTGAAAGGTGTCACTATTAGGAGTGTTATTGTGTTGATTTATGTAGTAGTAGTAGTAGTAGTAGTAGTAGTGCTCAACAGACATTCAACAGATTGCATACTTTTATCACAATAGCTTCCACATTATCTCCCTACTGAAGATCGAATGGCCAGCCAGAATGAATTAACTAGAAGAATCTCTGACTGCCAATGAACCAACCAACCAACCAACCAAAAACCTATTGGACAGGGCAGGGAGACGTCTGTTGAAAAACTTCATACATTTGGTTTCCTTGATAAATTTCGATAAAGAAAGGAAGACGAAATTTGCAGTATAAATTGATGACATCATTCTTTTTTACAGGTTCTCATCAACCGCACACCACTGCCTGAAATTACAATCGTTTTATAGATGATAATAACATACTTTAATGTTTGAGTGGTAGTAGAGAAGAGAGAGATACTATAAAATTGACGCATCCAAAATGATGAAAGCATTACAATTTATTTAGTTTAAGATTTCATCATCAATTTATACGCTTTCAAAGTTGAAAAGAGATGGGGGGAGGGGTAAGACAGAAGATAGAAAAAATTCAATTGACAGAACAGTGTTAGGTTTTAGGTTCACATAACAACTCAAAAACACAAGCGGTTAATAATAATAATAACAGCTTTATTCCAAACGGTATTTGTGGTACAGGTATGAAATTTTCAGCGTGCATTACAGTATATTGCATCTAATTGCCTCATAAATTTTATAAGATTTTAAAATCAAAAAGCAACAACCAAGAAAAAAATAGATAAATAAAAAGCAATAAAAAAGAACAGCGTTGCGTTTACATTTTAAACAATACACTATAGGATAAGAAATATAAAATTAGTGTGTAATAGAAGATGAGAACAACAGTGTGATGGTAACAAGGAAAGGAAAACAAAAACTAATGGGACTATTTGTTAGAGTGCCGAAGTAAGTTTATGAGGTGAAGATTTGTTCAGTGAGCTCAGTGAGATTGCGTTCGCTTCGGCAAATCGTAGTAAATTTGTTGTCCTTTGTCTATTTATTATTTTGAAGGATTTAGAAATCTCTACGAGATGTTCGGTATCAGCAGTATGTCTGGTAATTGCACTCTGAGAATATTTGCTTCCTTTCAGGCACAGGTTTTTTGGAATATGTTCAGAAAACCGGATAGAAGCTCTTCTTTTTGTCCTTCCAACGTACTTGCTCCCGCAAGTGCACGTGAATTCATAAACACAGTTGGAGGTGACATCAGCAGGGTATATATCCAGTTTTGAGTGGCTTATAGAAGAAGTGGTGATGTATACTGTTACGAGTTTTGTTGCTGAGAAGCTTCTTTTTGTTGATCTTTTCAGTCTTTTGTGACACTGCATCTCCTTTGAATGGGAGACAAACAAACACCTTTATCCTTTTCTACAGTTGGATGCTTTTCTTTCTCATCTTTTTCTTTGCCCTACTTTTGTATAAATCCCTTAGGGTATCCATTTTTTCTTAGGCATTTCTCGACGATATCTAATTCTTCTTCCACCTTGTTTAGTGAACATAGCTTCCTGGCTCTATCGTACAAAGTCCTCACTACTCCACGTATATAGCTTATGGGACAAAAGCTGTTTTAGTGAAGATATTGCCCAGTCCAGGTTTCTTTTCTATAGATGGACTTTTCGATCGTTCCTTCGTTTGTTCCTTCTACATTTAGATCCAGGAAATTAAACTCATTATTATGTTCATATTCCATGGTGAACTTGATGTTTGGATGGATCTCATTTAGGCGATCATATAATACCGATGCGTGATCCATATCGTTGCACTGAACAAATCTCAATCTTATAAAATGTAACCGCTTTTGTTTTTGAATTGCTATGTGAACCTAAAACCTAACACTGTTGTGTCAATTGAATTTTTTCTATCTTCTGTCTTACCCCTCCCATCTCTTTTCAACTTTGAAAGCGTATAAATTGATGATGAAATCTTGAACTAAATAAATTGTAATGCTTTCATCATTTTGGATGCGTCAATTTTATAGTATCTCTCTCTTCTCTACTACCACTCAAACATTGAAGTATGTTATTATCATGTATAAAACGATTGTAATTTCAGGCAGTGGTGTGCAGATGATGAGAACCTGTGAAGTAGAATGATGTCATCATTTTATACTGCAAATTTCGTCTTCCTTTCTTCATCGAAATGCAGATGGATTTGAAAAAAAGCTGAGGAGAAGGCGGTCAAATGACATGGCGTGCCAGGCCATAATCACTCGAGTGGAATTTCAATGTGGAAAGATGAGTAGAGTTTGGGTCTTCTATTGTGGAGCAAGTTATATTGGCTGTTGCTCTAGGAACCTAATCTTTCCTGCTTGAGAACACCTATCAGTCTGGCTAAACAAAGGTGTAGCGAAAACTGTCAAATGTTCCATATACATATTCATCTCGTCCAAACAGGTATGAAAACTAAGATTGAAGAGCCTCTCTCTATCATCTTTGGGATATCGAATAAATTACCAGAGGCCTCTGGGCACTGAACATGCGAAAAAGCGCAGGCAATCGTAATTCGATTAAAACTTACCGGAGGTCTCCGTGTGAAAGAAACAGAAACTAAAATATTTATCGTTATTTGTAAATAGATTGTTATTAAAAAGACGGTTAGTGGCAGCGAAGAAGCAAATTTTATTTTCGACGAAGTCACCGTCAACCAGGAGGCTGTACATTCATGTATTTATATTACACATGTATAAGAAAGTTCCAGAATTATTTCCGGTCAGAGGTCAGATTAATATGATTACCAAGTGTAATAAACAGAAGATGGCTAGTGGCACTATTCTAGAAATATTTCAGGCCAGAGGTCAAATTAAATATTACATTGTGTACTAATCAGAAAGATCGGGTAGAAAAGACAAATTAGGATTATAATTACTAGAAAACTCGTCAGTTTGTATAATTATGGGTTAAGGATGTAGTGCTAACAAAATGGGTAGGAGGTTCGGACATATAAAAATAAAAACAGCAACCAAATCTAATCATGCAGGTAGGGATTTGAAAGGTAAATATAACAAATAAACGGGAAGGTTGGACAAGAAGGATGGTAACAGGATAATCATTATTGGTGAGACTGACTTTTCATGAGGGCCACGATAGGGACAACGATTGGACGTATTTCTTTTGGACACATAGAATAGGCTTGAGTTTTTAGATCGTCAATGCCTGCCTCAGCTATTCCCAGCCAGATGTCTTGATTTTACTCCCTTTGGTAGGTTGGATCGGATCTTGTATATGGCTTCGAAGGACTTTTCAAATGGGACTGAATGTCGAGAATTCACCAGATGTTCTGTTATCGAATTATATACGCCTTTGCGTTACCCTCTTGCTAGCCAAGCTGGATAGTGTTCCCGCCCGCGTTTTACAAGGGGATGCATGGTACGGCCAATCTACTCAGCTCCACACGAGCAAGTGAATTTGGATAAACATGTTGAATTGATAGATTAAAGACCAGTAGTTCAGCGAAGAGTCTCTATTCAGCAAATTCATTTTCATAGCTACACAATCGCAAATACTGTATACGGTTGTTTTGTATATGTGTGCGTGTATACATTAAATTTGTCAAACGAAAATACAATTAGTAATTTCAGATGAATTGGATGTTGATATAAGAGGATAGTAACAAAAGTGATGCGTTGAAAACGAATCTAAAATTCTTTTTCTTGATATTGAACTTACAAGGAGAGCTGACGGAACTTTAAGAAGTTCAATCCATAGGAAACCCACATGGAACAGCCAGGTGACAAGCTTCTACAGCTTGGTATCAATCAGTCGGAAAAGAAACCTAATTAGATCTCTTGCCCCTCGCATCAGACGCATCTGAAGCTCTGAAACCATAGAAGAAGAACTAAACTTCCTGAAAAAATCTTCGCGCAAAACGGTTAACCATCAAGATTCGTAGACAAAAACATCAAACAAAAAATCCAAAAGCAAGAGATAGCATCCGTGCCAAAAAAGATACTTTATATGAACCTCAACTTCAAAGGAGACCTACTTAGTGACATCCTCAGAAGGAGAATTTCCAATTCTTTAAGAAGAAATTTCTTCGAGGTAGTGTTCTCCAGTCGTCCACTGATCTGTAAAAGCCTTAAAGACAAATCTCTCACTCCCCACTTCTACCTGTATATATCAGTTCACCTGTTACTGTGGATCCAGCCATGTACATTGGTCGTTCGACGAGCATTCTGCGAAAAAGTGTCAAAGTACACTATCAAGCGTGGCTGTAGAAAGGAAGTAGTGACCGTATATAAGGAGTGCAATAATCGAACATCTCGTCACCACTGGTCATTCCATATCAACAAACGCCTCCTGCTTTCAAGTAATCTACAAAGTGAAGAACAACCTGCCAAAGACAATACGATTCCGTCTTATTTGCATCGCAGAAGCTCTAGCCATTCGGTTACAGTAACCAGAACTATGAATACAAAAGAAAATTATTCAACCACTTCTACTATCATGGTAACAACTCTGTTGACTTGACTTAACTTTTGTCTGTATCCTTATTTTTCTAACAACTTAAAACCCTTGTGTGATTCTGTATGTTATTTTGTTTCCATGTACACCCTTTGAGCACAACTCTTTCATCAAACTACTCACACCATCACGTAACTCTTATTTAACAATCATTTATGACAACTCATCACTTTTGTTACTACCCTCTCATATCAACATCCAATTCATCTGAACTTACTAATTGTATTTTCGTTTGACAAATTTAATGTATACACATGTACACACAAAACAACTACATATATTTGAGATTGTACAGCTATGAAAATGAATTCGCCGAATAGAGACTCTTCGCTGAACTACTGGTCTTTTGTCTGTTGATGTTCAAATGGGAATTGTTCATGAATTGATCGATTGTTCATAAAGTAATTTTCATTATCAGTGATTCCTATCCCGTTTTCTAATACAGGGTGAACCAGCAACTGTAGTACACGTACATCAACCTGAATACAAGTCAGTACTAGAAGAGGCCACAAAAGCTGGATACAGAGTAATCACTAGCTCGTGCTGGAAACTGAATGAAAAGAAGCTTGGTGATGATTGGAGAAAATATTATGAATGTGATTTCAGTACATTTGATGGTAAGTGAAATTTGGATTATTAACGATAAAGATGCTTTTTAGTTTGTTTATTAGATATATCAGACACAGTCAGTGAAATAGTATTAGTCAATGAATGACGTTTCGAATAAAATTTAATACTGTTCATAATCATATCGCCAATTATAATCACACAACTTCAAAACTTGAGTTTTATATTATTCATTATTCTTTCCCCTATTCGCCGTCGTAAGTGTAGTAGAATCTCCCTGATGTCCAGGTCGACAGGTGTCGAATCATTCCTGTCACACGTAATCTTCCCAGTTGATTCAATAAACAAAACTTCCGTTATCAACCTCTCCACCCCCATTCTCTTATATCAGATCTTAGAACTGCCATCTTTTGTCCATCCCATCCTATTGTATAGTTGTGTAATTGCATTTAGTGAGTGCTACAGCTAAAATAACTATTCTCCAGATTTCATACTTTATTTGGGCCTACTAATCTTAACCGATATTTGGATTCCCAGTCATTCCATCCTATATCAGTAAAAATAGGATTGGTGAAATATCAAAGTAAAAGGGCACATAAACTAAGTAGTACCAAGGAAAATCATTTATCTCACTTTGCATGCGAGAGGCCCCGGGGTCCGGTACCTGGCATCTCCATGGGAAGACGCAAGTATGGCGGTTTTGTGCGTCGGTGGCAAAGTGGTTAGGACTCTCGCCGACCATGCACATGGTTCGAGGTTCCATCCGCTGCCGACGCACACCTGATATCTATGGTTGGCCTACAAAATTTGGGCTACCGATACCACATACCGAAAATTCCATACTTGTACCAAAAATACAGTGCGGAATTAAGCTGTAATCAAAATTAAAAAAAATTAAAAATATATATAAATGTCATTCATTATAATAAAGGTTTTTTTGTATTTCCCAATGAATGAAAAACAAAACGAAATTGTTGTATTTTACTGACGTCTCGCTATTTAATGCTGCGTCTAATAGCTCTATCAAAGCAGTTTTATTAAACCAGAATTTACAAACTTCACTCATCTGATATGTAACAACTTCATCATTGTTCCTCAGCATAAGATCATTTTTGCGTTGTCAAATCGGCAAATTGGTAAAGACAACAAAACCAGGCGCAGATTGTTGGATTTAATAAGCGTGTAGAATTATAAAAGCAGCATGTGTTTATATAATGAAATTGCTTATCACATTCGTGTTGATTTTGTCAATTCATGGGGGAGGGAGAGGGGTGTTGTAACCAGATCAAACTCTGTCTTAGTCCATCATTCCTGTTCACTTCAGACAGTTTGGATTCCATTTGATATTGAAGTGCTTCTGATGATGTGAGAGGTTCTTTGTGATTTCTGACATCTTTTTTCCGGGTTATTTCAATATTGTCAAAATCACTTTTGTGGCCTGATTCTATCGCGTAGCGTGTAGACGAGCTATGGTTGATGAATAGTTTCTTGCAAGAAAATGTCTATCGTAGACTGGCGGTGATGTATGTTTTCCTGAGAGATTTCGAAAGCCCTAAGCCAAGAATTTCTGCTTCAGTATCACTTTTAAATTCATAATTAAGCCTCAGCATCTTTCTTTTGGGGTGGGGGCGGGTAGACTTGGACCTGATCAGACGTCTGAACAGCTACGAACACACGACAAACCTTAAAGTGACCATTTAGAATAATCAGTGTTTTTCATATAAAAATGTCGTATATTTTACTAGGAAAATGTAGATAATAATTATGAACACATAAAAAAACTATTCACAAAAATGGCATATAATTAAAAATAAGACATTATAACCCTAATATATCCCTATCAGTGTTCCGTTGGATTCCTAGTGGAATATAGGGCTTCAACAACACATCTCTACTTTCTTCTGTTCTCTACCATTCTCTTCAGCTAGGTTCAAAATTGCCCAATCTCTTTTGTCTCTTCCTCAAACGGTCTCCACCTTGCCACCCTCGCGTTCATCACCCATTTGTCGTTTCCCATTGAGACTCCACTCGAGCAATGGCCTGCGTTGTGCGGGATGTCATTCGACGGTCTCCTCAATGTATGCCCGATCAGTGCATCTCCATTTTCACCTACATATTTGTTGAGCGATCGTCTCTCGCCTGTTGGTTTGTTCCCACAGTTTCTTGATACTAATTGTCTTCGGCTGGTCATTTGATTTTCAATATGCAGACAGCGAAAGCACTTGTTGATGAAACTCTGCCACCTATTGGAAATCCCTGTCGTGACACTCACTGCAAGTTTCTGATCCATATAAAAGCAGCGATCGACTTGACATTGGTGTTGAACAGGACCAGAATCTTGTTCTTGTTAGCTGAGTGAAGCAGCGGATTTCCAAACCGGTTTCAGGTTGATGAAGACGTACCTCGCCTTTCGGATTTTGACTGACTGGCTTTCACACCTTCATCCAGTCGACCTGCCTGTAGTTGAAACTATACTCCCGAACCGGATAAGTGAAGGAGGTAACCTCTGTTAAATCTCTCCCTCTTATTGATGATGACTGGTGCTCGTTGTTGTTGCTGTCGGTTGCTTGGTCGCTTGTTATCTTCATCACCTTCGTCTTCTGTATGTTCACCTGAAGTCAATCCTGTCTTTGCTATCTGCCTCTTCAACCAGTTTGTTGGTCTTCACCTGTCTAGTTACAAGTCTTCGAGTCTCTGTGACATTAAACATATATCATCAGAGAAATCCAGATCTTCTTGAGTCTTCTCATAGGTAGGCCCGCTTATTCCATTTTCGCGTTGTCAAGTTGCCCAATTGGTAAAGATAACTAAACAGGTGTAGATTATTTGATTTGGTAAGTGTATAAGATTATAGAAGCAGCGTGTGTTTACATAATACAGAAGGAGTGGGGTGTTGTAACCAGATCAAATTCTGTCTTAGTCCATCATTCCTGTTCACTTCAGACAGTTTGGATTCCATTTGATATTGAAGTGCTTCTGATGATGTGAGAGGTTCTTTGTGATTTCTGACATCTTTTTTCCGGGTTATTTCAATATTGTCAAAATCACTTTTGTGGCCTGATTCTATCGCGTAGCGTGTAGACGAGCTATGGTTGATGAATAGTTTCTTGGAAGAAAATGTCAGTCGTAGACTGGCGGCGAAGTATGTTTTCCTGAGAGATTTCGAAAGCCCTCCTCCGAGAATTTCCGCTTCAGTATCACTTTTAAATCCAAGATTAAGCCTCATCATCTTTCTTTTGGGGTGGGGGGCGGGTAGACTTGGACCTGATCAGACGTCTGAACAGCTACGAGCACACGACTAACTCTAGAGGGACCAATCAGAATGATCAATGTTTCTCATATAAAAATGCCATTTATGTTACTAGGAACATGTAGATAATAATTATGAACGCCTTAAAACCACTCACAAAAATGACAGGTAATTAAAAATAAGACATCCTAACCGTAATATATTATTGTATTTGTCCCTTTGGGTTCCGAGTGGAACATAGGACTTCAATAACACGTCACTACATTACGTTCTATTTTCTGCCATCCTCTTCAGCCGGGTACACGATTGCCCGAACTCTCTCATCTCTTCTTCACACGATCTCCTCCATGTCACCGTAGGACGACCAACTCGTCGCTTCCTATTGAGATTCCACTCGAGGGCCTGGCGCACCATGTCGTTCGATGGCCTCCTCAGTATATGCCCGATCCATCTCCTTTTTTTCCTACATATTTGTTGAACGATCAATCTGCTTTCACCTGTTGATTTGTTCTCACTGCTTCTTGTCACTTATTCTTTCTTGCAGGCCATATGACCTTCAGTATGGAGCCAGAGAAGGTGGCAGTTGTTGATGAAAGTCTACGGTGAATTGTTTGAAATCCTTTTCATGACTCATGCACATTGCAAGTTTCTGACCCGTATAAAAGCAGTGATCGACTTGACATTGGTGTCGAACAGAACTAGAATCTTGTTCATTACGCCAACTGAATGAAGCAGATTTCCAGACTAGTTTCAGGTTGGTGAAGGCGTTTCTTGCCTTTCTGATTCTGGCTGACTGGCTGGCTTTGACATATTCATCCGTATGATTCTCCTGTAGTTGAAACGATGCTTCCTAGCCGGATAAGTGAAGGAGTCAACCTCTGTTCAGTCTCTCTCGTTGATTGTGATTGGTACTGGTTGCTGTTGCTGTCGGTTGGTTGGTTGGTTATCTCCATCACGTCTATCTTCTCTATGTTTACCTGGAACCCTGTCTTCGTTGCTTCTTCAGCTAGTTTGATGGCTTTTGCGTGCAAGTCTTCGAGTCTCTGTGACATTAAACATACATCATCTGAGAAATCCAGATCTTCCTGAGTCTTCTCATAGGTAGCCCCGCTTATTCCTGTATCCTCGCCCCCAACAGTCTGATACATAAACCAGTCATTCCACCACAATTAGAAATATCATCATGAGTGATAATAGACAGCTAACCAGCCAACCTTGTATTACTCTTGTATTCACTTCTGAACCCTAATGCTAACCTTAATTCTAACCCTAATCATAAACCTAACCTTACTGAGCTATTAATCCATTATCTAAACTGCAATTCAAATTGAGGTCGGGATGAAATTTGCCCATCAATTCGTGCAAAGCATTCGTAATGGCATCATAATAATGGTAGGTTCCACTGTCCAACGAATAGTGTGCGTTCAAGGTCATCTGTGCGTTCGCACTCCCGGGTCGCCATTCTTTAACTTGGCCTCTATACCTTATCCAATGCCTTGAAATGTGTTTGCTATTCTTTTTTTTGAAAATGCAACCTTTTATTGATTACTGATAATTTGAAAAGTATTTCTTAATTTCTCCATGTTGTTTATTTCAAAAATTTACTCTTTCTAGCTACTGATGATCAGCTAGCCTTACTAATTGGTGGTGAAGCTTTACTATGGGGTTTCTATGTGGATGATGCAAATCTATTTCCAGCAACTTGGTGAGTTAATTGCCTAAGAAAAAATGAATGAATATCGAATACAATTTGCTTCAATCAAAATTTAGTATGACTGACGCGTGTATTCACCTACTTCGTGGTATATAAACTTATTGATTTTACGACAAACATTTGGTGTATGATTTGTTGCAGGATTTCATCATGAGCTGACATTGGTTGGAGAATCACTGGAAGACATGGGAGTACTGGAAAGCTGTCTCGTCCTAGCGCGACACTGCCCAGCAGTACGCAACCACCCTACTGCTGGGCTTTGAACTCAAGACCTTATCGTTAAAAGGCTAGCTAGATCGTAGACTATTAGGCCACTGGGACTCGCCAATTCAATGGCCACTCGATGAATTCCGACTTCTGTCAGATAACGACATAGCGCGACCACTAGCCAATGTTTTCGGCTAGTATTTGTCATCACACCCGACTTGATATACCCTACTGGTCTTGACTTGCTGTATGAATTGAACTCTAGTAGAATAAATCACCTAAAGATATCTCCGAAATAACCTCACACACACAGATTGTCTGGTACAAAAATTATCATTATTTCTTTGGGTTCCGAATGAAAACTGAGGCTTCAGCAGAATGTCCATATTTCATCTTGTCCTTTTTAGTCCTATTCAGCTGCCTTTATGACTTCTCATAAGCACTCCTACATGTCACACTTGGGCACAGCGTCAGTGGCACAGAGGTAGAGTGCACGCCGACCACGCCATACAGGTGGTTCGAGGTTCGATCCCCGGCCAGTGGACGCACTCTTTTACCTCACTAAATCAGTAATAAGACTGGTAAAGAGAGAACGTTGGACACGAGGCCGCTAGCAACAAAATCCTGTAAAAATAAACAATACTGCTACCGAAACTTAAAATGTCTCTAGATTGAAGCCCATAGTTCCATCACTGGGAGTATAAGGATATAAAAAGAACACTGGGACACAAGCTTAACTCATTACTTACCATTAGAATTCCATTCTATACATGTTTTGGCGTGTAAATTCACCAAAAAGCTTCTTCAGTATGTGTCCAACCCACCTCCATTTCCTTCTACATATTTGTCAAGCAATAGTTTCTTGGTCAATTCATCGTAAGACAGCGTTCCTTGTTTCTGATGGTTTCTTACTGTCAACCTGATCTTTAATATCCAGCCAGTGGCAGTGGTAGTGGCAGTTGTTGATGAAAGCCTGAAGCCCGATGGAAATGTTTTCCATAACGCACTATATATGAGAACTGACTGACTTTACGTTAGTGTTGAAAATTCAATTCTTGTTCTTGATGTTGAATTCGGTGGACTTCCACGATGATTCCAGGGTGATAAGTATCTGTTTTGTTTTGTTGATCCTGCTTTTCACATCCCCACTCATGTCACTGTCTGTAGTTGAAACGATTCTGCCAAAATAAAAGAAGGAAATAATCTCATTTGTTAGCTGTCTATGCCTCTGCCTTCTCTAAGTTTACTTGGATCCGAGTTTTCACTGCCTTGCCCAACTGTCTTAGAATTTGTATGACATTAGACACAATCCATCAGCGAAGTCTGCAACTTCTAGATTTTTCTTATCGGTTCAATATATTCCTGTCTTCTCGCCTCTCAGGTCCACTGGCATGCTCCATTCCATTACATTCATGAGTGTGGTCAGTGATAGTAGGCAGTCTTGTCATAATTCCTGTCTTCACTTCGAAGGTGTCGCTGAGTTTTCCACTGTGGATCACATGACTTTTGAATGAGGCTGATTATGTCTTGTTTCACTGAACTCCGTAGAGTTGAGGCAATTTTAAAGTTGCCTTGTGGTCAACAACACATTGCACAACCGATATTTTTTATAAAATTTGGTTTATTATATTTTTTTTTAAAATTGTAACGATTTCATTTAATAGTCATAATCATCAGAAGTATGCTATGATTCTTGTACGACCTGAAAAGACTTGGTCCATCTTCATACTGGCGAATGCGCACATGGTTCTGACATACGAATTATCTTTCCTTATGTCAGTCACAAAATTATGAGAGTTTCATTCACACGTGTTATACTGGCAACCGACAAGAAAAGAAATCCAGCCTTGCTTCATAAATTATGCTCGCATATATCTTGAGTTCAGTGTACACTGCACTGAACAAAGAAAGAAATGAAGAAGAGTGCTAGGAAAGATAAAAGAAAATTCTACGAAACTCTGACCGGCAACTAAGGCAGAACAGGCAAGTCGCAGGTAAAAGAGACCTCAGGACATGATATCAGATAACCAGATGACGAAACCAATAGAATATGTTCAAGGGAACCTAAGTGCCAAGGAGGGGAAACAAATCAAACAATGGGTTGATCACTTTAAAGGACTATTGAATCGATCATCACCTGTAACTCTCCCAGAAATGCCACCAGCAATAATAACCTGCACAGAATTGCCTGCCAGTGGATACCGATTCTCCAGTGAAAGCGGAAATTTTTAATGAGGGGCAGCAGGGTCCGACGAAATTCTCCCCCCACCCCCGCTACTGTGAAGCATTGAAGGCGGACTCAGAGACTGCGGCAGATGTGCTTACATCATTACTGCAAAAGGTTTGGAAAGAAGGAGAGGCGCCTGACGATAGGAAGAAAGGCCGGTTACCTCATCATGCTGCCAAAGAAGGGCGACTTAGGCCAATACGAGAACTAGAGTGGAATAATGATCTTGTCCACGCCAAGTAAAATACTAAGTCATATCATCCTGGAAAGAATAAAGGATGCACTGGAAACAGTACTCATCACCGAACAATCTGAATTCAGGAAAGATAAATCATGTGCTGATCAAACTTCAACTCTATGCATCGTTATTACAGAACAGAGCAATTAATACCAATCACACTTCTGTCTAACTCAACGTCATCAATTTCGGAAAGGCCTTCGACAGACAGCGTTGACCGCAAAGTAATTTGTAAACTGCTTCGACACTACGGAGTGTAGTACCCAAGTGGGTGGTCAGTGAGAAGATGACATGAGGGAGATGATATGTTGTGGAGGATGAGACGAGGGATTATGGGTAGTAGACGTGGAATCAGCCAGCTGAACAGGAGAGGACAGCAAAGAATAAAATAAAGTCGAGATGTGTTATTGAAGTCCTATGTTCCACCTGGAACCCGAGGAAACAACAATAATCAATCTTGTTTCATTTTAGAATTTACACAATACAAGACAACCCGTTAGAAACGGTATAGTTGGCTTTCGTAGTTTATTGAGCTTCTTCAGCAATGCATACGTTTGTCCATGGGAGATTAGTTATCTATTCTCAACTTTATTTTCTAGAATGTTCTGTTGCTTAATATGAAAACGATTGAGACGAAAGTAGTTTAGTTATCCAACGATCACATCCAAGATCAATTAGCAGACATCTCATTATAGATAGGACTTTTCATTTCAATACAGAAATCACCAGGAAGCCAAGTACTAGTCACATGAGAAGGAAACCTATAGTATCTTACCTAAATGTTAAGAGGCTAAGGTTGACGCTACCTCAGATACTGTAGTTCTTGTAAATCTTTAAAGGATGTGTTTAGTTACCGATTTATTTCATTTAGAGACATAAATCTCGGAAATTACGGAAGCATAGTATTTATCGTTTTATCATCGCTAGAAATTTCCATTTTTAGCCAAGTAACTATTAAACAGATGTTTGTTCAGTCTACCAAGTGAGGTACGATAACACTTAATCACCTATGACATTGTCTCGTGGTTGTGTTGTGCTGAAGAGTCCTGAAGTAGGATGATAGGGCTGTCCAGTACACCCTGTCGTCTTTCCAGTGGTTCTCTTACTGATATCAGCTCATAATGGAACTTGTAAGAAATCACATCCCTGTAAACCAACACTGGATAAGATGCTTTTCATGCTTTATATGCACCTTACATTACAGGCCACTAGCTGCAACCGTAGCTGAACGACTTTGGTCTACAGAACCTCCAGAAACTGAAGTATTCGCACAAGAACTTGATGAACTTCGTTGTCGAATGTTAAGGTAAGCGGCTTATACACACTAGCAACTGGTGAGAATGATCAAAAGTTATGCAAAACTGTATATATAAAATTTAGAGTGTAAGCCCATATTGATTGGTGATGAAAGACTATGTCAAAATAATAAACTGACTGGCAGTAGGTTTTATCATCAAAGCGAAAGTAAATGGTGTTACATAAAGTCAGCATTACACTACCCAAGGGCTTGACGCATGACACTGGTTACTATCCAGTGTCCAGTGACCAATCAGAGTATCCACTACAGTCCTACAGGAAGCCAATCGTGAGCCCATTCAATGTAGTGGTAACGTCTCTGACTGTGACAATGGGTGATCCGGGTTTGAAACTCAGAGGAGGCATGAGTTCCTTCAAGGTTTCAGATACACCTTTCTGTGACGAGTAGTAACAAGCACAGAACCAAGGGCCGAAAGGGCTACTTTTTCGATTGCCTCCAATCATCTAACATGCAATAACTAGACGATGACATATGTTGTGACACAAAGACCAATTAAAGTTGAAAGTTTTAATTAGAACAAATTCAATGATGAGGCATTTTGGTTATATGAAAACTGAAGAGTACTGATCATCGGCTGTAACATCCAAACCACGAAATATATGCAACCATTTGTATATATTCTACTTGATTTCCATATAAGAGGTATATTATCATTCATCTGCTTTCCGATTGGCTTCTTCACTTGAAGGTAAGATACTCAAAGTTTTTCAGCTTACCCAAGAGATTACAAAGGTCATCACCCCTATAGATCAGCCACATTGTTCACTATCACAATGATGTATATATATGTAGGTTTGTGAGAATCATTCCAATATGCAGTCCAGTAGCACATTTCAGCACACCACTGACAGCATTATTCATTTTGATACCAATCGGAAAGATATATTTCCCTATATGAATTTAAAACAAGCAACAAAGGGGTGAGTAATAAAGAATGATTTAATGAATTCATCAAATTCCGGTAGAACTCTTCAGCTGATTTTACTCCACATTCAGGGATATATATACTATGAGAAGTACGTTGGGAGAACTGTGGCTGATAAGCAAATAAAATACATTGAATTACTCATACAAAACAAAACGTGTGAATGTTTTTCAGGTCAGGTTCAAATAGATAAGGGGAGAGGGAGCATGAGAGACTAAAATTAAGATAAAATACATTATGCTTCAATTACATCACTTAGGTGAATGATAAGTCACCAGAGAAAGAACTTAAATATATCAAGAATCGCGAACTGAGTAGTATTAATAATAATAATAATAATAATAGTAATAATAAGAATGTTGAAACGAGTTAAGATAATGCTACTGATAAAAGGTATTTTTGAGTGAATCAGGAATAACAATAAGAGGTAGAATAAAGTGTTAATAAAAACGTATTACCATGGTAGATTCAGAGCGAAGACCATTTCCTTGTGTACACAAAGACCTAGTTTATAAACTCGAATTGCACACAAACCTCTTCCACAATTGCAAGCATCTTCCTGTTTCTTTGCCTGCTAACAACAGTGACTGACTTGACAGCGTTAAAATTATGTCCATAGTTCACAAGATGTTTTGTTATTGAGGTTTTGGCACTTTGCATTCAGCCGTTTTCAACCATTTTGGCAAATGTTCCATCATGCGAGTAGACAATCGCGTTTTTGTACGAACTATGTATTTGCTTCCTTCCTGAAACACACTCAAATTGATAAACGCGGTAGTTTGAAGTGTAGAGGATTGGTGACTGACTGGTCTTTCCCAGATTCTTGAAGCACCCCTGGGTGGTGGTGGTGTTAAGAAAGACTGACTTTCCGGTATAATTAGTTCCCTTGATAGGTTTATCGATTTTTCGTTTGACTACTTCTTCTACATCATCTCGTTTGAATGCCAAATTGATATAAACAGATTTCTTCGGAACTGCTTGGGTAGTTTTGCAGAGGTTCATCTCTTGAGAGTATTTAAAAATGAGCCTTCTGTGATATCCATTCTTAGATAAAATATCCTTCAGAGCTATTATTTCATGTTCAGTTGTACTGTTTCTAAGTGATGCGATTGAAGCGTAATGCATTTATCTTAATTTGAATCTCTCATACCCTCCCTTATCTATTGATCATAACCGGAAAAACACTCACATGTGTCGTTTTGCCTGACTAATTCGATGTAGTTTATTTACCTACCAGGTTTATGTGTCTGAGTGTGATTCTCCTGAAATTTGATGAATTCATTAAATCCTTCTTTATTAACCCCTTTTGTTGTTGCTTGTTTTAAATGATATTAATTACCCGGCTCCATGAAATGACTCTTATTTTTTCACACTAAGGCAACCTTAATGATCTCATATTAGCGAATTCAAGGGACACAGAATACAAGAAGCTTCAAAAGCCTATGCCTTTGTCTACAGTATCATACAATAACATAGAAGAATGAAGTACAAAACTTTCTATTAACCTCGAAATGCAAATAGTATTCCAGTGCTTTGAGCACTTTCATAAGTTGAATTAGTTGTGTCCTCTGTCAGAGTTGGTTGATGCTATTGTGAAGTTTTTGTCGTCCCCCAACTAGACAGCATCGCTTTATCACAAGTTCTGGTATAAAATCGATTCATCTGAATTCTCAAGAACGATGATATAATTGTATCTCCTGTCAACAACTTCTGTGGCTCGTTGTGTGTTCATTTATGTCTCCATTGATCATTTTATTATTCACTTCGAACTCGAATTCTCTTATCATGTGAGATGATTTACTTTTTATTAGCTGATAAATTTGGACTATAGTAATTAGTGTGTGTGTGTGTGTTAATCGCTCGCTGACTGATTCACCGGAGTACCAACTAGGCTTCTAGAAATTCCCTCACTGCATTTTTGGTGTTTCCTCTATTTAAAAATTCCACATTCCTCCCAATCGTCTAACTGCTGTCCATAATTATCTACATCCATTGATATGAAAGAATATATGTGTCATGTCATGTCTTTTTACAGGCAATTTATGTTCTTCGATTAGGATTAGAAGGGGACGCGCGCTTTGTCCAGTGTAATGTTTGTTGCAGTTCATGCATGCAGTTTACTTTGTAAATGGTATTATTAATTTTATCTTCTTCTCCTGTTGAATGGATCTTCTGGTTTGCACACTATCGAATGAAGTGACCGTGCTGGCTGGCTTGCGTGCTATATCTGTTTCAGACGGTCTTAATATTCTAGGTGTTATTTCAGAGATATTTTTTATGTAGGGTAGGATAAATTTTCTTTCAGTCTTCGATGATGGCTTGTTGTTGATGGTGTAATGACTCCAGTTTTAACACCTTTTGATGAAAATGTGAAGAGGATATTCATTCTTTTTGAAGATGGTTAGTAGATGTTTTATTTCCATTCTCTTCAACACCGGAATAGTACTACAGTGTTGTGTTTGAACTCCTTTAAACAATGTCTACACACAGTTTTTTTGCGTGTAATTGGGTTGGGTCATTGCTAGTATAGTTGAGTATTTGATCTGTGTGCATTTTGGTTTACTATATATACATATCATTTCGAATTCCAAGTCAATAATGAGAAAGATGATCAATAGAGACATAAATTAACAAACAACCAGTCACGAAAATGGTTGCCAGTGGAAAAAAATTACATCATCCATGAAAAATTTTAAGTAAGTCCATTTTATACTAAAACCTGCGCTGAAGGGGGATGTTATCTAGGAAGGGGAACGATGACAGCTTCGCTATTGCAACAACCAGCTCTAACAGAGTGTACAGCTACTTCAATATCATCCATCTGAGCTATAAATTTTCTCTTTTACTTCCATAAGTGTTTTATTTTATCCAAAAACCATGAATCACTAGGGAAGATTTTTTCCCCTTTTGCTTGACTTATCAAGCTTTAATGAACAGAATTTTTGAATGTAAAGCCTTTCCTTTATTTTACAGACGTGGTTGGAGTGCTCAAGCGATAACTGGACCTGGATTCTGTTCCCCATAGCCAGTGTGATGACACACACTCACACATATCGATTAGATTCACACTTTTCTGTGAAATATTAAAAGATAATTAAATTTGTTCCTTATTCCCACCTAGTTTTATTCTGCTCTGGTATATTCTTATTCATATTATGCAATGTTAATTCAGAATGGTTGATAAGTAAAAGAAGGATATTGCGTTATGTGTGAAGTCTGTCTCCTGAATAGATGATGAGGTCCCTAAGTATATGACACTTTCTTCACTTATCTGGCCAGGAAGCACGGTGTCAGCCGCATGCAGACAGGGAGTCGGACAGCACGGATGCACATGTCAAAGCCAGCCAGCCAGATAGTTTCGGAAAGGTGAGAATGCAACGTCTTTATCAAGCTGAAAACAGTTTTCAAATCTTCTGAATGACTCACTCACTCACCCAACCGACCAGCCAGTCAGCCAACATAAACAATTAGGTTCAGATTCTATTCAACACAAATATGAAGTCAGTTGGTTCTTCTATACAGGTGAGAAACCTGCACCAAGAGTGAATCGATCACAAAAAGCATGTGCAACTGGCTAGTGCAGACTACTATCAACAGCTCCCCACTTCGCTCGCTGGCTTGCCTCATAATCAAGACCTAATCGCAGGCCGGAGAGTCGGATGTCAGAGTGGTAAGGGAGAAAATGAACTAATCAGAAAGAAGAAACCCTGGCGATGAACAAACCAACAAAGGAAGAGCCGATTGATTGCTCAACAAATATGTAGGAGGAAAAGGATATGCATTGGTCGGGTAACACGCAATTGAGGAGGCTGTCGCTCGAATGATATCGCGCTCAATGCAGACCAACGCTCGAGTGGAAAATGGATGAAAAACGAGTACGAGTGGGTGGTGAGTTTGAGGATGACATGGAGGAGATGGTATGTCGAGCAGGAGAAGATGAGAGATTATGCATAGTAATCGTGGAGTCGGTCAGCTGTATAGGAGAGGATAGCATAGAACAAAAGGAAGTGGAAATGTGTTCTTGAAGTCCTATGTCCCACTATGTTCCACCCAAAGTAATGATAGAAAAAATAGGTGTATAATACAAATTCTTAAACAACTTTCTCCACGTATAATGTGTAAGAGAGACAACTGCATATTTGCGTTTAGCTATGATTAACTCCGTAAATCATAAATAATTGTCTTTTAGCTCCAAGTAACCTCAATCAACCACTGTTCACTTTCACATTAATTTGCATCAAAAAAATCATCTCCTGGATGCAGAAAGCAGCAGACGTTCTATAGATAAACTTAGTTGGTTGCACAACTGCCAATATATCTTGGCTTCTCTGCACAGCCTCCTTCATGTCACCTTAGGACTTAAGTCCGATTTGCCGTTTACCAATTTAGTTCTACACGATGTCCATCCTTGCACGGGATGTCATTCAACAGTCTCCCAGTGTGTAATCATTCTATCTCCATTTTCTTCAACATGTCTGTTGAACGATGGGTTCTTGTTTGCTTTGTTCATTCTCAGTCAGAGTTTCTTGTTGCATATCATTTCTAGCAGTCTGATCTTCAGAAACCACACCGGAGAGGGTTGGAGCTGTCAATAAAAGTGTGCAGTGGCCTTTTGAAAGTACTTTTGGTAATGCGCCAGCCAATTCTGTGAACCATGAAGAAGCACAGACTGATTCGACTTTAGCGTTAATAATTCGAATCTTGCTCCTTGTGTGTGTGTGTGTATGTGTGTACCAGGGTATCCACAGTGAAGTCAGTGTAATAAAGGTTTACCTTGCATACGTGCGAATACATCGAGAACGAAGGAGTAAGGATAATGGTTACAGCGAGATATTTTCGCGTATAGCGGAGCCAACTTCATCAACCTTATTCAACAGCCGTACGACAGCGACACAGGTCAAGTGATCCACAACAGAATACTCAGCGAGGCGTTTGCAGTAAACACTGGAGTCAGACAAGGGTACTTATTATCACCAATAATATTCCTAATTATGGTGGACTGACTGGATTATGCTTCAGACAGTGAGTGGGAAACGAGAAGACAGGGATATCCTGGACCGACGTGAAGAACCTAGAAGACCTGGATTTCGCGCGTGGATGATTTATGTTTGATGCCACTGTCACAAAATCGAAGACTTACAAGCGAAAACGGACAAACTGGTCGAAGACGCAGACAACGAAGACAGGACTCCAGGTGAACATAGACAAGACGGAGGTCATGAAAATAACCAACCAACAAACGAAAACAATCAGCAGCATCCAGTGCCAATCGCCATCAACGGGAGGGATTTGAAAGAGGTTACTTCATTCACTTATCTAGGGAGCATTGTCTCAACTACAGGAGGAACGGACGAGGATGTCAAATCGAGAATCGGGAAGGCGAGAAACACATTCATCAACCTGAAATCAATCTGGAAATCTCCGTCACTCAGCATCACCGGCAAAATTCGGATTTTCAATACAAACGTAAAGTCAGTCCTTCTATACGGATCAGAAACTTGGCGGGTCACAAAGAATATTTCCAAGAAGTTGCAGACCTTTATTAGCAACTGTCTTCGCTGGATCTATGCTGAAGATCAGATGGCCCGGCTGGAAAGAATCACCAGCAAGAAACTATGGGAAGAAACAAAGCAAGAACAAACCAATCGCCAACAACAAATATGCAGGAGAAAGTGGAGATTGATTGGACACTCGCTAAGGAGGTTGGTTGGTGACATCGTGCGTCAAACCAATACTCGAGTGGAACCAGGCCGAAAGGGAAGCGGCGAGTTAGACGTCAGTGAAATGGTGACATGCAGGAGATTGTGTGAAGAGGAGTTGAAACAGTACGGACTAACATGGATGCAAGTGAAAAGTACAGCAGAAAACAGAGAGTCGCAAGGGGAGATATGCAGTTTAAGCCTTATGTTCTACTAGGAACCCAAGGGAAAAATAAAAATAATAGCCAACTTCGAAATCGATATTTTTACTACATAAAAAAAGTTGATAAGTCACCCTTGAAACAGCCAAACGTATCTTCTGATATAATTACAGCTTTTCTCTCGTCCCGTGATAAAAAATCGCCTTCATCCCACATATACATGTATACTGTAAAGAATGCGCGGAAAGTTATAACTGTGATATGATATGTCCCAACCCAAAAAGTGACTTTATAATAAAAAAAGTTCGATGAGGATTGGCACACAGAAGCACAGAAGATACAGTCCTGTCAGTTAGATTTCCATTGCAACACTAGAAAGACAATATTCAACGAAGAGGTAAGGAAAGTTTAAGCGAAAGCTGTGATTACTTGATAATAAAAATAGTAATAGTAGCTTGAAAATCCCCATTGAGTCATATGAAAAGAGAAGACGTTCAGCGAAGAGACTCTTTTCGACGGCGAATTCATTCACATAGCTGTACAATCGCATTTATGTATAACTATGTGTGTGTGTGAGTGTGTACATGAGTTTGTCAAGTTTAGATAATTTATCAGGTAATACAAGAATGATCTAATATAGAAACGAGGTTAATCAAACAGCAACTAAAGTAAGATTGAGTTAGTTAGTAAGTTAGATGACGTAACACAATTGCCTAAAATGTTTTTTAACTTAGGTCAGGGTAGCAACAGAGGTAATTACAGGTAGAGACTAAGTAGAAGTGGGGTAGAGAATAATGCCATTTAAATTAGAAGTGAAATTGAGCGAATAAATTGGATGACGTAACATAAATGAATGACTAGAAATTGAGCGTTGGTCAAGTCAGTAACAGTGGTAGTGAGGTGTAGAAATTAAATCGGTGGAGGGGTGTAGAGAACAAGAAAGCTGAAAATGTAAAATATTACAATTGGTGAGACAAAATAATACTATTGAAGGGATAGAGGTCGCAGAATCTGCACCCCAGACACCATAGAAGAAGAAATGGACAATCTCAAGAGAATCCTCGTCGAGAATTGTTATCCAGAAAGATTTATTGCAAAATCGATGAATCCTAGACCACAAACGCTGCCCATGCTTAGCGTCCCGAAAAAACTACTCTACATGAACCTTCAATTCAATGGAGATATATCTGCGGAAATATTAAAAAATCGACTGTCGCGCTCACTTAAGAAGACCTGCTTCTTAGCTGAACCACGACTAACCTTCTCCACAAAACCTATGATTCATGTGAACGTGAAGGATAGGCTATCACTGCTGGCCTCATCAATGTGTATTTATTAATTCACCTACTCGTGTGGAGCCAGGTATGTCGTCCGTACCCAGCGTTCGCTTTCCAAGCGTATCACCGAATACTTACCAACATGGTTTGACAAAGCAGGAAAACGATTCCCCCACAGCTCCATCTTAGACCTTCTGAAAGACTCCGGACACCAAACTACACCCGAAACAAACTTCAAAGTCGTTAACAGAGTAAGAAGTAGTCTTCCTAAATGTGTCCGAATCAGACTTCATCAAACTGCAGAAGCAATGGCGATTCACTTGCTAAGCCCAGAACTCTGCATACAGAAGAAGTTTGTTCAATCACTACACTTGCAATGGACGTAATCTATCTTATTATCCGACAAGTAAATTCTACATAATCTTTTTTCTTTTCTGTCTCTTCATTAGTATTATTTTGTCTCACCAATTGTAATATTTTACATTTTCAGCTTTCTTGTTCTCTACACCCCTCCACCGATTTAATTTCTACACCTCACTACCACTGTTACTGACTTGACCAACGCTCAATTTCTAGTCATTCATTTATGTTACGTCATCCAATTTATTCGCTCAATTTCACTTCTAATTTAAATGGCATTATTCTCTACCCCACTTCTACTTAGTCTCTACCTGTAATTACCTCTGTTGCTACCCTGACCTAAGTTAAAAAACATTTTAGTCAATTGTGTTACGTCATCTAACTTACTAACTAACTCAATCTTACTTTAGTTGCTGTTTGATTAACCTTGTTTCTATATTAGATCATTCTTGTATTACCTGATAAATTATCTAAACTTGACAAACTCATGTACACACTCACACACACACACATAGTTATACATAAATG